GCTCTTATTGATCGCTCTGCGTCATGCTTGATGCACGGCTATGAAGTACAAAGTATGGGTTGAAGTTGGCCGGACAGATTATTGGCCGCATATTGTGCGCTGCTTGCTGGCCCGCAGGCTTCTCAATAGGTTTGGCATGGACCAAGGGATCTATGAAGCCCAAGTGAACGTACAGGAGATGGAAACACGGGAGAAGCCGATTGACGGCCAGGCCGGTGCTTTACGTGCATATTGGGATGCAGCGCTTCCCGAACTACAACTGGCCGAATACAGTTTTTGGGCCTGAAGGGAGCTGTGGATGAGCTGTTCTATTCCTCCAGTACCAAAGCGATTCCCTGGTATGATCGAAAGCAAGGAATTCTAGGGTGAGCGTACATCGGCAGCAGATCATGGGGCAGAAGTTCAGCACTTTATGCGTACTCTAAGGAAAGAGTGAGCAAACGATCTTTAGTATAAAAGTAGTTGCCTTCCTTTGAGACAGGAAAGTGGGAACATAAATTAGAGCATGTCTATAGATACTAAGAGCAGCATGGGATTTAGGATTGTCCTGTGGCTGTGTGGGAGGTAGAGGAGAGTTCTATTTTCAGCTGTCACTACATCTGGGGCCTTCCTCTGCTCTCAAATGCCCTGGCTGTTTTGCTCCACGGTGGGGAGCACTTGCAACTCCAAGGCCAAGAGGCCTTCCCAGAGAAGCAACCCTCTGCGAGGCTGCTGGCTAGTACAGGCCCCATCTGGGAGCTGACTCCTTGCTTTTTCCCCAGACTGCCCTAGTGAGCTTTGCCACCACTGGAGAGAAGACGGTGGCTGCAGTCATGACCTGTCGGAATGAAGTGGTGAGTATTGAGAACGGCAGCTAGCACTTGGGGTTTTCCTTTCTTGTCTATGCCTGGAGTGCCGAGAATCAGAAGTCTGGGCACATTCGCCTGGTCAGTTTGAACCCAGTGGGTTGAGAAATGAGATCTTACCTCATCTACAGAACTTTCTGCACGCCCCGTTTCTCGCTAGGAATGAGACCCTAATATGACCACCTCACTTGCATCTGGGACTGTTAAGGGCTGCATAGGCTTTGTGGGCAGGGGTGAGAAGTGAGATTTGCCTTCTCCCAAATGCTGAGAAGATACAGAAATAAAAGCTTCACTTTGATGATTGGGAAGTGACCCTTTGGCTGAAATTTCTCCTGTCCTTCTCTTTCCCTTAGCAGAAACCTAGCAATTCTGAAGATGGGTCATTGGGGAGCTTTTCGGAGAAGTCTAGTCCAAAGGTAGGGTGTGGCATTGGGCAGTGTGCTAGTCCCGGACCCATAGGCCACCCAGTATAGTTGGGGAAACAGCTTCAGCTAGAAGCAGGTCTCAGACTTCCCAGCTTCCAGTGGGGTTTCCTAAGTATTGCAAATTCAGTTTTGTTTCTCTTGATCCTTTTCTTTGGGAGATTAGAAGGTAAAATCCTTAGAATCTGTCCCTAAGTAATTCTTCATCCAGGCCGCAATTTCCCCATTTCTTTTGGGATCCCGGCTGGTAGAGTTGAGTGGTCATCTGTGCAGTTGTCCTGAAGCAGAGGCGCAAGACCCTGGCTGGAGGCGCAGGTTCCTGCTGTGGCCTCCGTCTCCTAAGCTTTTTCCTGCTCCCTGTCCCTGCTCACAGTCCTGCCTCTCTTGGGGAGTCTCTGCGACTCTATACCGGCTTCCTTCCAAAACAAATACAGAAGCTGTAGTTGGATTTACTTACTCAGGCACCTTATTTCTCCGTTAGGATTTAGCTTTCTTTTCTCCTCTATTTTCCTTTGCAAATGTTTCCCCTTTTGGGCTGGCTCCTTCTCTTGGGTATTTGTCCCCAATCCTTGGACTTCCTTTGGGGGACTTTGGAGGATACCTGTAGGTGACCCACACTGTCTGTACCCCTAGGACTCGCTGGCTTGCTTCAATCAGACCTACACCATTAACCTCTACCTAGTGGAGACAGGTCGGCGGCTATTGGACACCACGATTACGTTTAGCCTGGAACAGAGCGGCACTCGGCCTGAGCGGGTGAGTCAGAGCCTGTGTCTTCAGACTCTGTCTTGTGGGCTTCCTGGCTTGGGGCATCATTTCCTCGGGGCCGGGTCATGGTCATGGATCCTGGATTAGGGCTCTCTGGACCTGCGTTCTCATTCTTACTGAGCCACTGACTTGTCATAAGTCACAGTAAAGGCAGGTAACATTTATGCCAAGTTGTCACTTTGTGCCAGGCACGGTGCCAGACTTTTTGCTTATGCGTTAATTGATTTAACCTTTTCAAGAGTCTCATGAAATGGTTATTATTGCCCTGGTTTTACAAATGATACTGTGGTCTAGTAGGATTTATTACCGAATCCAGAGTGCCAGAGCTAGTTAGAAGTGTTACTGGGGTTTGGACTCAGGTCTGTCTAACTCCACAGCCTGCACTCTTACTTGCCACCCAGTACTGCCTCTGTGTGCATTTAGCTGTGTTCCTTAGCTTCTTGGCCTGTGGCTTCTTTATCTCTAACATGGAAATTCTAACCTTGCCTCCTGCTTGCTTTGTGGGATGTGATTAGAGCATGGATGAATGACACGGTACCTGTGAAGTACTCGGGTTCCTCCACAGAAAGGTCTGAGAGAGCCTAGCATTATTGTCGTGGTGGCTCCTAGGGATATGTATCATCTTAGTGGTGTCCAGGTAATAGCTGCATTGTTTAGACATCAAATAATGCCATGACATGGACCCCTGCCTGTTCCTAAAGCTTTGTGTCTTGGGATCTGGTGCTCTCAGAGGCATTTGGATTCTCACCTCAGTGGTCTTGACTGTTCGGCTTATAGCTGTACATCCAGGTGTTCTTGAAAAAGGATGACTCAGTGGGCTACCGGGCCTTGGTGCAGACAGAGGATCATCTGCTACTTTTCCTGCAGCAGCTGGGTAAGTAGACTCCATTCAGCCCATTTTATTCCCAAGCCTGCCTGTGAGCTCCAATCAGACAGTTTCTGGGGGGCTGTGGACAGGCGCTGGGAAAGGTTCAAGTGGAGTATGCCCTGAGTATTTTTTCAGAGCCATTATGTCACCCGCTTTGAGTACTTCCTTAGCATTCGAAGGTGGGAGACAGAACTTTTCTCATGTAACCTATTGAGTCCAGCTCTTTGCTCTGCCGCTTCTATTTTTGCACAAGAGCTGTGGTGATCCCTGAGTCACCTAGAAGGCTCTTCAGAAGATCCAGGAGGGAGGCTGAGCTTTTGCAAAATGGTCTCTGTAGCAGGGAAGGTGGTGCTGTGGAGCCGCGAGGAGTCCCTGGCAGAGGTGGTGTGCCTGGAGATGGTGGACCTCCCCCTGACTGGGGCGCAGGCTGAGCTGGAAGGAGAATTTGGCAAAAAGGCAGGTATGAAAATAAGAGGTTGGGACAGCAGAGTTGTTGGAGGGGCTGCTCTGGGAGGGGGTTTGTTGGATGGACCATAAGAGACTCGAGTCATGATGTCCCTGGCTTCCTGGGCTCAGCGGATGGCCAGTGTGTTCTGTACGAGCACTGTGACCATGTGGTGTATATATCCATTCTTTCTGTGAAAGAGGGAACTGTGAATCCCTCTAGGGAAAGATCCTGAAGGAAAAACATCTTAGTATAGTAACAGCTGCTATTGTCTGAGTACCGAAAATCTGTCAGGCACTGTGCCAGGCACCGAACACTCATTGTCATCCTTAAAGCAACAGCCACATCTGTCTAGAGAGACATGGCTGGGTTGATCTGGTTATTGTGGAAGTAACCCAGTACCCTCTGAAGCCAGCCACAGTCGCAACCCCCAAATGAACTTGATTTATTCTACTCTGATTCAGTCCTGCCCCCACCTGTCTCCTGCCATGCATTCATCTAGCTCTTGAACAGAGAGTTATTGGAGGTGTCTACTCTGGGCCAGGCACCATACTAGGCATTGTGAATTTTCTTAAGCTGAGGATTAATTTGACTCTACTATTTATTTCTGCTGCCTGGATCCAGCAATTCAAGGTAAAACCTGCTTCTTGCTGCCTTGTTGCTCATTGCCTGCCCACATGGCTAGCTTTTGGTTAATTATTTGTTCTTCCTGACTTGCATCCATGAGGTACCTACCATGTGTGTGGACTGCCATGCTTGTGACTTGTCCTGTTTGCCTTTCACTTCTCTTCCTTGAGCTGAGGTTGGTGGAAAATAAGCAAAGATGCTACTCCTTTTTAGTGAGCAGTTATACCATGTACCAGGTATCATCCTAAATCCTGTGTATGCATCATGTGATGTCATCTTTGCAACAGTCTTACGGGTTGCATGCCATTTTCCACATGAGGAACCAGAGGCAAAAGGTTAAATACAGTTTCCAAATCTGCATAGTAGTAAGTACTAGAGCTGGGATTTTAATCCAGGCCTGACTCCAGAGACCTTGCTACCTTGTATCTCTCACCAAATCTGTGGTCTCCCATGGAGGAGATTTAAAGGGTGGTGGCCTCATTGATGGACTCAGGGATAGAGTGAGTGCCGGCCCTGGGAACTGGTTATAAGTAGGTCTGTTGGGTACAGGTTAAACAGTTGGCACAGTAGGAAATGGAAGTACCCATTCATGATACACATAACACTCGCACCCCTGAACCTCCACACCTGCACCTCTTCTGGCTTTGTCATGGCCACCAGAAGCTTTCTTCTGGCCATCCTGGATGTGGGCTGTGGTGAAGCCATTCACAGCATGGCTGCATCCTGCATGGCTGATCCCTGATTCTTAGCCTCCTATTCAATGATTCTAGGCAGGTGAAGTCTTAAAAGCCAGGTAAGTAATTTTTGGAAGCTCTTGCATGGCTATACCTGATTGTGAGACTGTGGGCCTCAGACACAGTCCTGTCCCTTGGGCTTGTGGCCTGGAGTGTGGACTTTGACACTGCTTAAAAGAGGGAGAGATCCCTCATTAGGAAAAACGCACACCTTCTTGTCAAACCCCTAGTCTGATGCCGAGCACGTTACCTTTTCCCTGACACCAGACGGCTTGCTGGGGATGTTCCTGAAACGCCTCTCGTCTCAGCTTATCCTGCTGCAGGCGTGGACTTCCCACCTCTGGAAAATGTTTTATGATGCTCGCAAGCCCCGAAGTCAGATTAAGAATGAGATCAACATCGACACCCTGGCCAGAGATGAGTTCAACCTCCAGAAGATGATGGTGATGGTAACAGCCTCAGGCAAGGTGAGCGGTCCTGTCCCGAAGCTTTTGAAGTCAGGGGGTGGGAAACAAAAAGCCTTCGGTAGGGGGTAGCACTGGTTCTATTTTTCAAGGATAGAATCAGTTCCTTGGTTTCTCTTTCTAGTTGTGTGCCAAGTATTTGTTTATCTTGCAGCTTTTTGGCATCGAGAGCAGCTCTGGCACCATCCTTTGGAAACAGTATCTACCCAATGTCAAGCCAGACTCCTCCTTCAAACTGATGGTCCAGAGAACTACCGCTCACTTCCCCCACCCCCCACAGTGCACCCTCCTGGTGAAGGACAAGGTGAGGCCGCCCACCTCTGACTTGAGCCAGCATGTCTAATTCTTGGTCAGGTTTGGAGCCTGAGACAGTTTGACTTTTTTCCTTGAGCTTTTTTTCTGTTTTGCAACTGAAATTTCTCCTAGGCCCTTGGAATTCTATTAGAGTTAAAGAGGAATATCCAGGGGTTAGAACTCTTTCTTCCAGTTTCATGCCTGGGTGGAGGCGCCATCCTACACTGATAAGGAATTGACCACATACGTAGGAAGCCAGCTCTCTTCCTTTCCAAACGTAGGCTGTTGTTGGTAGCTGAGTGGCTGTTTTCTCTTCTGTGAGGAAGAGCAGGACACTGCTGTTTATATCCCTGCCTCCCAGCATTAGAATGGGCTTCAGTGGATTCATTCCAGAGTTATAAAAGGGGCTTGGGAGGCACTCTTCTTGAATGGCCACCCTGGGGTTGCTGAATTGGTACTTGACCTTTTTATTTATTCTTTAGCACATCTAGTTCTTGGTCAGGTTTGGAGCCAGAAGCAGTTTGACTTTTTTCTTTTGATGTAAGGGGACCATTTGCCTAGGGGGCCATTCACCTTTAGTCAAGAATTTACTTTCCACAAAGAGGGCAAAGACTGGGGAACCCCTTACAGTCGAAGTCCCAGCTCCTTGGATTTACCCTCGGGATTTGCATTCTTTTCATGTGGATGGAGCCTGACAGTTTGCCCATTTTAGGAGACGGGAATGAGTTCTCTGTATGTCTTCAATCCCATATTTGGGAAGTGGAGTCAGGTGGCTCCCCCAGTGCTGAAGCGCCCCATCCTGCAGTCCTTGCTTCTTCCAGTCATGGATCAGGACTACGCCAAGGTGTTGCTGTTGATAGACGATGAGTACAAGGTAGTGCGTCTGCGGTGGGGATGGAGGACATCCAAGTGGAGTTGGGAGTGGGGCGGGTGGTGAAACACAGTCAGCAGACCAGAGGTGGAGTGTCTCTGCAGCCAGCATGTGTTTGGGCTCTAGGGCCGTCTCTAAGAGATGTTGCTCTTTCTGCACTTATGAAAACTCAGGTTCTTAACAGATTTAAATTGAAGCCCTAAACTGAGTTCACTAGATTCTAATTCTTTTCAGGTTTACTGTTTTATTCTTAACATTCTCATTGATGGGGAAACAGTAATGAGTCTTAGGAAACTGGGCTTAGAAATTTCTAACCTTTTAACCCTTTCCTGGGGCTATCTGGGTTTTTTAAGGTCACAGCTTTCCCAGCCACTCGGAATGTCTTGCGACAGCTACATGAACTTGCTCCTTCCATTTTTTTCTATTTGGTGGATGCAGACCAGGGACGGCTTTGTGGATATCGGCTTCGAAAGGTAAGGAAGGGACATCTTGACAGGACTCTTGTAGAGGGGATGTGGGTATTTCCTGGTCATTGGCTGAGAAGTGAACTATGCTGCTCATTCTTTTATAAACATAGATTAGCATATTCCTGATGTCTGATTCGAAGTGAGTCATTTGTTCATATTTATTGGGCAGCTGCCACCTGACAGGCATGGTTCCAGGTGCTGCAGACATATCAGTGCACAATAGACCACATCTTTGCCCTCATGGAACCTTCATTTTACATTCCTTTTCTACGGCAGAGAGAAAGGATGTTTTTCACCATTCTTGGGCGGGTGGGAGGTAGAAATGGGGTTGAGTAATGAGTTGAACTTTTACACAAAGATGATGTTATTGACTGATTCTTGATAAAATGTTGCTTTGAATTTTATTTCTAGAAATGGAGTCAGTTTGCTCTGATGCTGACATCCTTTAGCCTAACTCTTGTAAACATTGATACACATTGGCTTTGAAGTCCAGCTCTGAAGCTTACAAGGGCCTGGCCTTGGCTTTGTTAGCAGGACTGTGTGGAGTGGAGAAGTACTTTGTGGTGTGTGCTCACCAGAGAGGCCTCCCATCCTGTTCTGTGAGGCCTTTCCAGAGTCATAGAGGTTAAGAGCTTGGACCTGGCTGCCTGGGTTTGAAGCACCAGCTCTCCAGAAGGCCCTCATGCCCCTTCCCAGTCACCAAGCCCCCGGCCCCAAGGGTTCTATGTAATTCTATAGGACATGTAGTAACGTATTTAATCATGAATATTTATTTACTGGTTTCCTATGATCATAAAGACCCATACAGAAAATGTTTAGAGGTCCCTTCTAGCTTGACAATTCAGTCCTGTCCTCAGTACACAGAGATCTTAGATTTTAGTAATAGTAAATTTTCTTGGATATTTCCTACCCAGATAAACAATGGGATACTACTCAGTATTCTCCTTTTCTTACTGGTTTTAGTATCTTTCGTAACCAAAATCTAAAACTTCCTCATAAATTAGATTTGTTTTTGGAGATAAGGTCTCACTCTGTTGCCTGGGCTTGAGTGCAGTAGAGTCATCATAGCTCACTGCAACCTTAAATTCCTGGGCTCAAGCGATCCTTCTGGCTCAGCCTCCCAAGTACCTAAGACTACAGGCATGCACCACCATGCCTGCTAATTTTTCTATTCTTTGTAGATACGGGCTCTTGCTGTGTTGCTCAGGCTGGTTTCAAACTCCTGGCCTCAAAAAGTCCTCCCATCTCAGCTTCCCAGGCTGCTGGGATTATAGGCATGAGCCACTGCACCTAGCCCATTAACTACATCTTTACTGCCATTTTTCTAGGAGTTCTAATCTCTGTTCCTTCCAGCACAGAGGACTCAAATAATGAACTGCAGGATGTGCCTAGCTCTAGCTGTTTCAGTTCTAAGTGTACCCTCCTGATTAAAGGCTCTTTTGTCCCTGTCCTAGGATCTCACCACAGAGCTGAGTTGGGAGCTGACCATTCCCCCAGAAGTACAGCGGATCGTCAAGGTGAAGGGGAAACGCAGCAGCGAACACGTTCATTCCCAGGGCCGTGTGATGGGGGACCGCAGTGTGCTCTACAAGGTACAGCCAGCACTCTGGCATAGAGCAAGGGCTTTAGAATCAGGCACACGAGGGCTTGAAGTCTGGCTGTAGGACTTGGTGGATATATGACTTTGGGCAAGTCATTTAATCCTTTTGAGCCTTAATTTATTTTCAGTGGAATGGGCATAATATTAATATACCCTCCTCCTAGGGTTGTTGTGATGATCACATGAGATGCTTATGCTTAGTCCAGTGCCTGGCATATGGTAAGTACCTAAGAGATGTTAGCTCTTGTTATTAGTGGTAGTACTGATTTAGCATTCTGAGGTTAAACCTTAGTTGAGCCATCAGAAACTCCATCTCTTCTAGTTAGTGGTAAAGGAGGGAGACAGAGGTGACTAGCAGGCTGCAAAACTATCCCAGGGGAGAATGTAGTATAGTGTTAATGAACATTAATTACACCCTCTGGTACAGCAGAGACTGAGTTGGAGGGGGTATAACAGAATAGAGTAGTGAGACCACGGAACTCAACAGTGAGGCTCCCTCACTAAGCATGAGGTAGTGCAGCAGAGTATAAGCCCCAAATTGGACTGCCAGTTTCAGACTTGGCCATGGACTAGCTGTTCATCTCCTAGGCTACCTAAACCTTGATTTTCACCAATATAATGAGGATAATAGTACTAACATCAGAGGATTGTTTTGAAGATTAATAACAACATGTAAAGTTATAAGAATAGTGCTTGCCATGTAATTAGCATTATTATTAGTGCTATTGACTTGAATTCTTTCTTTCTTTCTTTTTTTTTTTTTTGAGACAGAGTCTCACTTTGTGGCCCCAGGTAGAGTGCAGTGGCATCATCATAGCTCACTGCAACTTCAAACTCCTGGGTTCAAGCGATCCTCTTGCTTTAGCCTCCTGAGTAGCTGGACTATATAGGTGCACGACACAAAGCCCAGCTAATTTTTCTTTTCTTTCTTTTTTTTGGAGACAGAGTCTCACTTTGTTGCCCAGGCTAGAGTGAGTGCTGTGGCGTCAGCCTAGCTCACAGCAACCTCAAACTCTTGGGCTCAAGCAATCCTGCTGCCTCAGCCTCCCAAGTAGCTGGGACTACAGGCATGTACCACCATGCCTGGCTAATTTTTTCTATATATGTTAGTTGTCCAATTAATTTCTTTCTATTTATAGTATAGACGGGGTCTAACTCTTGCTCAGGCTGGTTTCGAACTCCTGACCTCAAGCAATCCCCTGCCTCGGCTCCCCAGAGTGCTAGGATTACAGGTGTGAGCCACCATGCCTGGCCTAATTTTTCTATCTTTAGTAGAGAAGAGGTCTTGCTCTTGCTTAGGCTGGTCTGGAACTCCTGAGCTCAAGCAGTCCTCCTGTATCAGCCTCCCAGAGTGCTAGGATTACAGGAATGAGCCACCACACCCACCCAACTTGAATTCTTAATGCATGAACACCTTCCATGTGGCAGCATTCACTTTTAACTTGTTCAGAATGAACAAAATGATACAGATTCTGAAGTATACATAGAGTTCTATAGCCCCTTACCTAGTTTCCCCAACATGACTTGGTACATCTGTCTAACTAAAGAACCAACATTGGTACATGACTATTAACTAAACTCCAGATTTTATTTGGGTTTCAATAGTTTTTTCACTAATGTTGTTTTTATGTTCCAGGATCCCATGTGCATTTAGTCATCAGGTTCCTTAGGTTCTCTTGCTCAGGCTGGTCTCGAACTCTGACCTCGAGCGATCCGCTCACCCGTCCCCAGAGTGCTAGGATTATAGGCGGTGTACTACCACCCCCTGCCTGGCCGCAAATAATTTTTTTTTTTTTTTTGCTTATTCAATAAGTTTATTGTCTGACATTTCTCAAAAATCCTCATAAAAAATTGCAGTTTGGTTTAGCTTTCAGCAGCCTGCTCCTGAGCTCTGAGGAAGCTTGCCTTCTCTTGAGCTACCCGATCTTTGTTCTGGGCAAGGGACATTTTGGGACAGTTCCATCTCTTCTTCTTAACTTCTTTCTTAGGCTTCTTCTCATAGACTGGATTATTTCGTATAGCAGCATGGGCTTTCTTATACATCTCCTCCATCATGTCTGGAGTAACGTTGTTCTTTATGTATTGAGAAAACTGTTTTTTGTAAGCATCTTCATCTTCTTCCATTAGATAACGCATATAATCTGCAACATTCTGACCCATGATGTGCTTCCGATGTACTTCAGCATTAAATTCCTTGCTTTCAGAATCATAACCAGGGAATCGTTTGGTACTGTGAGGAATAGACAAGCCTCCATCCACAGCTCCCTTCAGGGCCCCAAAAACTTTATTGCCAGTTGTAGTTCTGGCAAGGCCTGCATCCAAATAGCACGTAAAAGCACCAGGCTGGCCGTCAATGCTTTCCACGTTGTATTCATCTCCTGTCACTTCCACTTGGCCTTCATAGATCTTGTCCATGCCAAACCTATTGAGAAGCCTGCGGGCCAGCAGCAGGCCAGCACAATATGCTGCAGCATAATTTGTCAGGCCAACCTTCACACCATATTTTGGTAGTTCATGTGCATAAGCTGCGCAGACTATCACATCCCCTTCTATACGGGCATAAGCAATCTGACAAATGATGTCTCTGTTAGTTACACGAACTATCATTCTGTATTTGGGTGTGTTGTACTTATTTTTATCCTGTATCACCAAGCGTTTCCGAGCATAGTAACAGTTTTACCCTCTCATCGTCTTCTGAATTTCACTTGGTATCTCTTAAAGTAGGCCTTATTCTTGACAACTTTAACAAACCCCATCCTGCCGAACAGAGACCCGCTTTTGCGGCTCAACACTGACTTGCAGGCCCAGCAGCGCTCAATAATTTTCGAGTGTTAGCTGGATGCAGGCCTTCTTTAGATGCAGGGACATGTCAGCGGACAAAATAGCCTAAACCTCCTGTCCTCATGAAGTTTTCACTTTAGTTAGGAGGGGCTAATAATCAAGAAAATAAAGAGGTTAATTATATAGTATATTAGAAAGTGACCAGTTCTATAGAGAAAAATAAAGCCAAGAAAAGGGAAAGGGAGCACAGGACTGAGAAGGGGATATAATTTAAAATAGGGTGGCTAAGGAGGATCTCCCTGAGGAAGTGGCAGTAAGTGAAGACTTTAGTGGGGAAGTGAGCCATGTGGATATCTGGGGAAAGAGCCTTCCAGGCAGAAAAGCCAGAGCATGCCTGGTATGTTTGAGAAACAGCAAGGAGGACTGCGTGACTAGAGTAGGTGAGTGAGGAGCGTTGGGGCTGCTGAGGTCAGAGGGCGACAGGGCCAGCTCACAGGCCATCACTCTGGCTGTCATTTAGGATGAGGTGAAGAGCCATGGGGACGTTTTGAGCAGAGAAGTGATATGAACGACTGAGATTCCATAGGCTCATTTGGCCCAGACCAGGCTGTAGAGGGGCAAGGAGGAAAGCAGGAGACCACCTGGGCTGTGGTAATCCAGAGGGGATGATGGTAGCTCAAACTGGGCTGGCAGCAGTGGAGGTGGGGAGGAGGGGTCAGATTCTGCATATGTTTGGAGGCAGAGCCTATAGGATATGTCGATGGGTGTGTGTGTGTGTGTGTATGTTAGAAAGGAGTCAAGGGTTGTTGACTGGGGAGAACTGAGGGAGGAGCAGGTTTTAGGCTAGAACAGTTCAGTTTGGGGCATGTTAAGTTTCAGATGAGACACCTGAGAAGAGATACTGAGAGGGCAGTTTGTTGGTGAAGTCTGGACTGCAGGGGAGAGCCTGGCTGGGATGTATAAATTTGGGCATTGCCAGAACCCATAAATAGTGTTAAAGCCATGAATTGGCTGAGGTCACTACGAGGGAGGGTATAGATAGAAATGATCACGGCTGGGCACAGTGGTGCCCCTGTACTCTCAGCTACTGGTGAGGTGGAAGGATCACTTGAGCCCAGGAGGTCAAGTCCAGCCTGGGCAATGTAGTGAGACCCCATCCCAAAAAAGAAATAAACGAATAAATAAATAATTGTCAAAAGTTTTTAAAATTAAAAAAAAATATGCCAAAGGTCTGAGCGCTGCCTAGTGTGCTTCATCCTGAAGAGACTCGGGAGATATAGAGCAACTCACAAGAGAGACTGAGAAGGAGCGGCCAGCAAGGCAGAAGGAAAGCCAGGGAGTGGGTGTGATAGGATCCCGATGAGAAAGTATTTCAAGAAGGGAGTGATCACCTGTGTTATGTGGTACTAGTAGGTCAAGTAAGATGAAGGCCGAGACTCAGCCACTGGATTTAGTGATGGGGAGGGCGCTGGTGACCTTGAGAAGAACAGTTTTGGTGGAGAGAAAGGACATTGCTGGAGCAGTGTCCTTAGGTCAGTGAGTGGGCAGACATGGGTTACCATTTGCTACCTGTGACTTGAGACACTGCTCAGCTGCTTTAGGACTTTCCTCATGTGCAAAATGTGGACAATACTAGCTACCTTGCGTGGTTTTTTTAAGGGTTTAAATGGAGTGCAAGGCACGTGGCATGGCACCTGGTACCCAGCAGACAGAAACAAGTGCAGTGATGAGAAGCTCTACGTGGAAGCTCTTCTCACCAGAATCCCCAGTTCCTCTGCAGGCTGGAGAGCCGCAGGTTGGCTAGCAGTGGAGTCGACTGCATGATGTGTCGTCATGGTTCTGAAGGAGCTTTTCTCTCTCTGTCCCCAGAGCCTGAATCCTAACCTGCTGGCCGTGGTGACAGAGAGCACAGATGTACACCATGAGCGCACCTTTATCGGCATCTTCCTCATCGATGGTGTTACTGGGCGCATCATCCATTCCTCTGTGCAGAAGAAGGCCAAGGGCCCTGTCCACATCGTGCATTCAGAGAACTGGGTGGTGGTGAGTAGTCACTACCAGGGATACGAGGTAGCTCAAGAGTTCTTCCTATGTCTTAAATCCTTTCCAGAAATCCAGTTGCTGCTTTGTGTTTTCATGGGATCCCAAGCCCCGTGTATGGCAACAAAGTGTGCTGGTTAAGGGGCTAGGAATCAGAGGTTTGATCCTGCCTCTTCCGTTTCTTGACTGTACCACCCTGAACTAGTTATGCACCTCACTGTGTTGTATCATTAGTGAAATAGGGATAATAAGAGTCACAGTCTTGCTAAGAACAGTGCATGATGCCCAGTAAGGACTCAGAGCTTAGCTATTATGATAATGTCTAAGAATCTTGAGAACTCCTTTGTCTTTTGGTGAATCTTGGATAGCCTAGATAAAACTACCTTGGAAGTTAGTAAACTTGGTAGCAAGAAGAAAACTGGGGTGCTAGTGGTTCTTTTCCTTCCTGGATCTGCAGCTAACTGGAACAGTGCCTTCCAGTGTAATTACCCTTTCCATTGGAACCAGCAGCTAAGCCCTGAGCTGCCTCCTCTCTCTGCAGTACCAGTACTGGAATACCAAGGCTCGGCGCAACGAGTTTACTGCTCTGGAGCTCTACGAGGGCACTGAGCAATACAACGCCACCGCCTTCAGCTCCCTGGACCGTCCCCAGCTGCCCCAGGTCCTCCAGCAGTCCTACATCTTCCCCTCCTCCATCAGTGCCATGGAAGCCACCATCACTGAACGGGGCATCACCAGCCGACACCTGCTGAGTGAGTGCCTGTGGGTCTCTGGGGTGACTGGGTTCCCTTGGGCAGCGACACTGAAGGACAGAGTAGGGGACACGTTGCTAGCAGAGCCCCATTTGATGCCCCTATAAGGGAAAGGTGTGAAGAAGGCTGTATTTCAGTGGAAAAATTTCCTTAGTTCAGCTTTGCCACCTATAAACATGACCACTTCTCTCTCAGTCCTCTTTTCTGGTGAACCACTTCCCTTCTCTGATTGGCATTTTCACCTACCTCAGAGAGTCAGTCCCTAATAGCAATCTTAATCAGCTGGACCGTGTTGACAGGCTGCAGAAACTGGCAGGGTTTAGAATCTTATCCTTGTGTAGCCCAAGTTCAGGATTTGGTGATTATTTAACAGGCTTTTGTGCTTACTTGACGTTACCAAAATGTTTGGGACTCTCAGCTCTGACAGGCACTTGGTATTACTATTTTATTCTTGAATATGAAGAAGACCACCCTCTTGGCAGTTTACCAGCTTTTGTCACCATTACTGAAGCTGGTGCTGTAATTGTGCCTGGTCACTCAGCCCTCCCTGCATGGCACTGCAGTGGGGCACACAGCCTGTGTTTGCTTACCAGGAAGGAGACCCCTTGGTCTGGGAGGTATCGTGGAGAAAGGAGAGAAGGATGAAGAAGTCCAAGTGGCCTTTCATACTCTTTTCTTTCATCATTACCCATATCTTGATTCTAGAACTTTGTTTTCTAATGTCTCAGGATGATGTGTGAAGAAAACAGTATCTTCAAAAGTGGGAACCTCATTCAGACCAATATGTATTATTGGATTACTGTTTTTGGCTATTTAAGGGAGCCTCATTGACCTATTTTTTTTGTTTTAAACTCTATTTTAAATTTCTGTGATAATGACATTTTGTAATTGGCCCTCATTGGGGATTGGATCTGTGTGAACATTTATTTCTTCCTGTGCAGTTGGGCTGCCTTCTGGAGCAATTCTTTCCCTTCCTAAGGCCTTGCTGGATCCCCGCCGTCCCGAGATCCCAACAGAGCAAAGCAGGTGAGACCCTTGTGGACGGTGCTGAAGGCTCTGGCCTTACAGCACTTAACTGCCTCAACTAAGTGTGGTCGTCAGTCTGCCACGTGCGGTAGTGCTGGGCTGGGAACAAGCCTGACGAAGAAGTCAGCCCTCGTGAACTTACATTCTGGTGGGAGATGGACAATAAATAAATAAGATTCTTAAATGAGTAAAATATATACTATGCTAGGTACTTGTAAGTGCTAATGAGAAAAAAATAAAGACAGGGTGTGAAGGGTACGGAGCATGTGCGTGGGTGAAGTTGGAGATAGGGTGGCCTGGGAAAGCCCCCTGAAAAGGTGACTTTTGAGTGAAGGCCTGAAGGATGTGAAGGAGCTGGCCATACAGAGGGAACAGGCAGCATATGTGCCCTGAAATCATGCCTGGTGAGTTTGGGGAGGGCAGGAAGCCCATGATGATTGAGCAGTGAGTGGTGGGAGATGCTAGGAATGAGGTCATGAGGCTAACAGGGGCCAGATCATGTGGGCAAGCCAACAACTTGTTCACAGTTAGTATTAATGTTTGTATTTCCAACCACCATCTCTGCAGATTTTCTCACCTCCATCCTGAATTCACCTCAGGGTGTGAGGAAATGTCTTTGGCACGTGAAGGATGGAGAAGAGTGTGGTTTGGAGAATTGCCTGAGAGAGAGGAGGTTCAGGCTGGGAAAAGACACAGATGGTAATCAGGTTTCAGAGGAGAAATGGGGACTGAGAGGTGCTCTGCAGTGAAGAGCGGGAATTGGCCCAGTGGTTCAGTGTGTTGGTTTTAAAATGGCCCTGACTTTCTTCCTCTGGTGTGAAGTGTTGGTCATCTGTAACTTCTTTTCAGATTTAGAACAAGGTGCAGGAATCAAGATCTCCGTCTTACTCTCCAGACAGCTAGCTTTCTTGTAGTCCTTCCTAACATTCTGCTGCTAAATTTTTAACTACCTAATGCAAGCAGATCTCCAGGGAGATTGGAAGCTAGATATGTAGCCTGGAAACCTCCCAGGACTCAGGAAGGGCAGCCAAGAGATCCCTTTACAGCAGTTTTCAGAGTGCTTGTCCCGGCTGTTTTGCAGAGAGGAGAACCTAATCCCGTATTCTCCAGATGTACAGATACACGCAGAGCGATTCATCAACTATAACCAGACAGTTTCTCGAATGCGAGGTATCTACACAGCCCCCTCAGGCCTGGAGTCCACTTGTCTGGTGAGTAGAGCCCACAGCCCAGTCTGTGCCACCTTCTCCACAGCCACCCTGTGTGACAGCTGTTTTTGTTTCACCCTTGGGAAAACATCGGAGGATTCCATTTCCTTTCTTACCTGAGTTTAAGGCTGTGGTGGATCATTGGTTGCTTCTTCTGTAATTCTCCTTCTGTCTGCCTTCCAGGTTGTAGCCTACGGTTTGGACATTTATCAAACTCGAGTCTATCCATCCAAACAGTTTGATGTCCTGAAGGATGACTATGACTATGTGTTAATCAGCAGTGTCCTCTTTGGCCTGGTTTTTGCCACCATGATCACTAAGAGACTGGCACAGGTGAAACTCCTGAATCGTGCCTGGCGGTAAAGACCAAAGACTCTGCCGGAGAGTGGAGAGCTGAGGCGGAGTGCGGGTCAGATGAGAAGCTACAGCTGCAGTCGGGCAGATCGGTGGAGCATGTGTGTTGAGTGCTCATCTCAGTTAAGAGATGTGGGGAAGAAGGTGGACCTTCCTGTGGAACTTTTGGGACACATGTGGTGCTGAATCCTACCGTGGACCGAGACATAACTCACTCTCAGCTGAGAATCTCAAAGTGTCTTGATGGACTTTCCCCTGAAGTCCGGAAGCTGCTGGGCTATTTCCTTCCTTTGCCCATCCCTGAATGTTCTGCTTCTTAATAAGACCTCCAACAGATTTTTCTCTTTTGTGAGGTCTGTTTCAGTTAGTTTTAGTTTGCCTTCTGTGTTTACCTAGAAATCTTTGACTTTTTCCCTGTCTCTTGCTTCAAAGTCAGAAGGGAACTCTCCTTGCCAATTCCACCTTATAGGTGCACTTGCTGATTTACATTAGGGAGAAATAGGATCCGTCCTTAGCGGAGGTTTCTCTCCAAAGTAACTTAGGGTTGAGGAATCTGTACATGGTGTCAAAACTAATTTTAACTAAATGTGTAGTTCCATGCTCTCATTTATTAGGTTGGGCCACCCAATCTTTGTTTTGATTTATCAAAACCCAAGTCCAGGCCGGGCGCAGTGGTTCACGCCTGTAATCCTAGCACTCTGGGAGGCCGAAGCGGGCGGATTGCTCGAGGTCAGGAGTTCAAAACCAGCCTGAGCAAGAGTAAGACCCCGTCTCTACTAAAAATAGAAAGAAATTAATTGGCCAACTAATATATATAGAAAAAAAATTAGCCGGGCATGATGGCGCATGCCTGTAGTCCCAGCTACTTGGGAGGCTGAGGCAGCAGGATTGCTTGAGCCCAGAAGTTTGAGGTTGCTGTGAGCTAGGCTGACACCATGGTACTCATTCTAGCCTGGGCAACAAAGCAAGACTCTCTCTCAAAAACAAAAAACAAAAAAAACCGAAGTCTGTAAGAGCATCTTGGTTTGTTGGTGGTCATTGCTTATACTTTTCACCTGATATGTGTCCGAGCTGAGGCCTTTTAAAAACTACTGAATTCTCTAAACCTTGAAGAGATTTCAAGGGAGGAGAGGTAATCTCATTTCACCCACAGGCTGGTCTAGTCATAACCTAGTTAAAGAAAGATGTCCTTGTTTAAGAACCCCGTTATTTATTTTTAGTTTTAGATATAAATTAACATGTCAGTTGTTATATTTCTCTTTAAATGAGAGTTTAATCTTATTGATCTAACATTTGAAGCTTTAAAAAGGGACAAGAGAACAAGGGCAGGCAGGGATAGTAAGTGGGTATATGGGCTGCTGTGTCTCTCCTACCAGTTAAATCTTAACAACTTTCCCTTGGTCATGGATTTGGGGAATAATGGCATTTTTTCTTTACTGTGAAGAATGAAATGTACTGAGTAGACCATCTCTAGCCCTGTGGTGAGAGAGGTACGCTTGAGTGTCTGGAATAAAGAAAATAATGAATGACACTGATTTAAGTCCTTTTTTGTGTCTTAGGAAGATCACTTTGAGGCTTCTTTCACATTAGAGGGGAAAAAGCAGTGCAGAAATGGAGTAAGTATATTTTAGTAGGGACACGTGCCAATTTAATCATATACAAGTGGGTCAAGGTCATTTTAAAACAAATTTTTTCATCTTTTTGTAGTCATATGCTGATGGTAGATCATGGCAGAGAGGGAAGAAATATGATAATCATTTTGCTTTGGTCATAAAATTTTCCATTTGATATTAATGAGTGAACATCTCAGCATCTGCAGAAACAACAGGCATCTAGTTCATCCTGACCCAAGTGTATTTTGTTTAACATGAGCTGAGAGAAGGGAGTAAGTACAAGTTGAAAAAATTCTGCCCCAGTTTTGAGAAAGTCTGGCTGGAATTTTGACTGTCTGATATAAATATCTGCAGACTACATTGTAAGCTATCGTCATGCTGCCTGTTCTGCTTGCCCAGCCCAGTTAATCTGCAAGATTCCAGTTTCCATTTACCTCTGTGCCAGAATCTCAAAGAACAAGCTGACAGGAGGGAAGTTATCTGCCCTTTTGTAAAATTCCCTGTATTTTGGCTTTCCTCATTAGCATTTTATTGAAAGTTACCTCAAAACAGGTGCTTAAAATAGCTAATGTTAATGCCATAGTCAAATCTAAGTCTTTTCTTAGTTCTCAATCTTCCTTAATTTTAAAGTAGCATTTGGTTCTGAGCAGCTGTGTTCAGCCTCCACCTATGGCTTCTGAGACTGTATGTTTCCTCTTTTAATTCTCCAATCTATTTGTTTTCTTTTCTTCCTCTTTTTCTGTGCATATCCCTTGAGCCATCTCTCCCTCTGTCTTCACAATTAGGTTAATTTTTGGGACCCCTACAATGTTTCACTTAAAAGGGGAAATTCCTCAGTGTTTCCTAGGCCTTTTAAAAACTAGTTTAACATACAAGAATTTTTGGCAGAAAATTTTGCAGCCTAAATAGTACTTAAGGATTCTCAGTCCCTGTTGAGCATAATGTAAATGGTTTTTGGCTTTTGTTGATTTTTTTTCTTAGCCTTTGACTTGGGATAGGAATCAATTATGGGGGAACATGCATGAATTAAATACAGAATTCCAGTTATAACACTATTCAGGGTCAGTAATATAATAACATCAGTATGTTTGTGTGTGTAAAATAATAATGTATTGTGCCCTATCCATCCTCTTTTTTTTTGAGACACAGTCCTGCTCTGTCACCTGGGCTAGAGTGCCATGGCATCAGTCTAGCTCACAGCCACCTCAAACTCGTGGGCTCAAGCGATCCTCCTGCCTCAGCCTCCCCAAGTGCTAGGATTATAGGCAGGAGACACTATGCCTGGCCCTTTTTTTTTTTTAAAGAGACAGGATCTCACTTTGTCACCCAGGCTGTAGTGTCATGGTGCTGTCATAGCTCACTATAACATCAAAGTCCAGGCTCAAACTTCCTGCTTCAGCCTTCCAAGTAGATGGGACGGGTGCATGTTGCCATGCCTGGCTAATTTTTTAATGTTGTTTTGTAGAGGTGGGGGCCTTGCTGTGTTGTCTGAGCTGGTGTCAAATTCCTGGCCTGAAGCCATTTTCCCACCCTGGCCTCCCAAAGTGCTAGGATTACAGGCGTGAGCCATTGTGCCTAAACTGAAGTTTCTTGAAGGCATTCGTTTGAAGTTTCTTGAAGGCATTCGTTTGGCCCTCTGCTTATCCATAAATCCTTGTCAGTCTCTCATTTTAATGAGAGGATGTTACTCTTCTCTCCTGCTTTAAAGACTGCTAACCTATACAGCTTCCTGCTTACCTAGCACCACAGAACAGCTATGCTTAAGGTATTATAGATATCAACATTTCACCCCATTACAGAAAGCACTTAGGATAGCTTACAAGATTAAAAAAAATGAAAACTAACTGGGTCAAGAAATAGCAACAAGAATAACAAACGTGGTTCAAATACACTTGTGGTGGACACCCGTCGCCCCCCAAAAAGATGGATATACATAACCCATCTTCTCTTCAAGCTCCTCTAAAATTGATCCCTAGATTAAGCGAGACCAGCAGAGAGGTAGCTGTGCACCTAGATTGAATTTTGGGGACAGTATTTTGTCATAGCCGATCCTCAGGAATGGGTTTTAGACCTCGAATACTATATTTATTCTAGAGATGTTGTTAAGGACATTGTTTATTACTCAGAGGACAAATGGGATAAACTTCCCACTGGTCTCAGTATCAGAAACAGTTATCTCAAGTCACTTTTAGAATTATTTTTACTTGTTTGATTATAAATAGAACATGCTTATTGTAGAAAAGTTTAAAATATAAAACTTAATTTGGACTAATACTAATATTATTTATGTGGGCACTGATACACCAGCATTTGTTCTTATATATAAAGTTTTCTTAGAACATGCTATTCTGCTACTTGTCTTTTTTTTAAATTTTTAAAATTTTTTTCATATTTTTATTTTTTAGCTTGCAGACCCAAAGTTACAAGCTACTTGTCATTTCAGTTATTGCATCTGGGACATCATGTATTCTTTTTTTTTTTTTTTTTTTGAGACAGAGTCTTGCTTTGTTGCCTGGGCATGAGGGCAGTGGGATGATCATAGTTGCTGTGGCGTCAGCCTAGTTCACTGCAACCTCAAACTCCTGGCCTCAAATGATCCTCCTGCCTCAGCCTCCAGAGTAGCTGGGACCACAGGCGTGTGCCACTACGTCGGCTAAGTTCAATTTTTAGTAGAGATGGAGTCTTGCTCTTGCTCAAGCTTGTCTTGAACTCCTGAGCTCAAGGGATCCTCCCACTTTGGCATATGATTATAGGCGTGAACCACTGTGATTCTTTATAATAACTATCTTACTATTCAAAAATTGATAATTATCTGTCTGTAATTAATACAGAAGTAGACCTGACATCCTGTGTACTTTTATTCTTTATAAAATATAAACTGAAGCTATTCTGTATCATTGAAGCTACTTTTCAATAATGAAGGAGATATTGGTACTTTGTATGCATCAGCTGCTTTGACTTTTGTTGCTAAATTCTTTATTTAAAAAAGACTATGTAGGCCAGGCACAGTGGCTCATGTGTGTAATCCCAGCTCTTTGGTGGGAGGCCAAGGCAGGGATTGTTTGAGGCCAGGAGTTCGAGACCAGCGTGGGCAACACAGTGAGACCCGCCCCCATCTCTACAAAAAGTAAAAATAAATAAATTAGCCAGGTGGCGTGGCACTCACCTGTAGTCCTAGCTACTTGGGAAGCTGAGGCAGGAATCTTGAGTCCAGGAGTTTGAAGCTGCAGTGAGCTATGATAGGACTACTGCATTCCAGTCTGGGTGATTAAGTGGACAGCCTGTCTCAAAAAAAATTAAAGACTACATAAGTAAAAGTTTTTTAAAAAAACAATGCCAATAAAAAAAAAATGCCAAAAAATTAAGTTGAATTTTCCCTTCAAAATCCCCCTCCACTGTCTATTTCCCAGAGGTTATGACCACTGAAGAATTTGGTATGTTATCTCTCCAGACCACAAAATATTCTGCAACTTGATTTCATCACTTAATATGTCATGGAGAGTTTCCATATTGGTACTGTGATCTCCCATACCATTTTTAATGGTTACAAGGGTAATGTTCTTAAGTGTTCTTTTGTTAGAGATTTTTTTAATGAGGTCAATTAAACATTCTTTCAGGAATGTCTAGGCCACCTTTCCAGTAAGAGTAATGTTTAGGCCACCTTTCCAGTAAGAGTTTATAAAGGATGTGTCCACACCTGCCATCCCATTGTTTTCAGGAATTAAGACTGTGATGTCAGTTGAGACTGACCTTCAACTAAGAAGCTTGTTTCCCAGTAGCAGTAAGGCTTCTATAAACTTGTGATCCATGATACTGACAAGATGCCATTTCCAGTATAGAGACCAAGACCATTTAGGAAGTTGTGTTGATAAAATAGCCACAGACTTATATTGAAGCACATGCTCCTATGCTGTAACATGCAATCTGAATGAAAGTCAAGAAAGCAAACTAAAAATACATTTCAAAGGCACATTTCCTTATGCAAGCTTCATTATATTTCTTTATGGTTTGTTCACATCATAGCTTTGATGGTATTATATATCCTATGTGCTGTAGTAAGAGGTAGACTAGAACATCGATAATCAGACCAGATCGGGCGCGTTCAGGGTGGTATGGCTGTAGACAACATTGATAATCAGAATGCCAGTTTATTGATGATAATGAAGACTATAATTGCAAAGAGGACTAGAATACTTATGTCTGCTGTCATATATATTCTGTTCTATAAAACAGCTGATACACTGAGTTAAAATGCTATTATAAGTTTGCTTGGCTGTTATGGAGTTAGAATAGGGTATGCGATATCCTACTTGTGGTTTTTACTATAGGCATATATCTGCAATGGAGACCAGGACAGTCCCTCTCCCCCCGACCCAAGAGTGCCAAAGGATACAGCATCATCATCTGGCTCCACTTTCCCTAGACTTTACATGTAAACTACTTTCCTTCTGTTAGGTGTCTGGCATATAGTAGGCTCTCTATCATACTCTAATCATGGTTTCCTAATTACAAAGCAAAGGCATCATAAAACAGAGTATTTACAAACTTTTTTCTTTTTGTTTTGACGCAATTCCAGACTTACAGAAGAGATGAAAGAATAGTACAAAGAATTTCCAGATATGCTCTGCCCAGATGCCCCAACGTATAACACTTTACCACATTTGCTTTTATCCTTCTCCCTGTGGTGTGTTTCTTTCAATCTGATAGGTCAAAACTTTCCTGAGAATGTAAATCCTAAAGGATGGAATAGCCCAACTGAGGAATAAAAAATAATTTCCAAAAAACTTTTCTGACATAATTTTGATCTTATGTAAGTTACATAAGCTGAATTAGTGTATCTAAGCTTCGTTTTGTAGAAGTTTGTGAGTCAGGCACTTGTTAATTCACATTGTCTATTAATGAACACCATTGCAAATTTGGATGTTCACCTTATTATACTGATTTTAACAATTTCAATTTTGTTCTTTCCTTCCTTGGTTTCCTATAAGTGTTGCTTCCTGTTATTCTGTAAAACTGACATTCGATTCTAGTCCCTGCTTTCTTTCTTTCTTTTTTTTTTTGAGACAGAGTCTCTGTTGCCTGGGCTAGAGTGCTGTGGCATCAGCCTAGCTCACAGCAACCTCAAACTCCTAGGCTCAAGCAATCCTCCTGCCTGAGCCTCCCGAGTAGCTGGGACTACTGGCATGTGCCACCATGCCTGGCTAATTTTTTTCTATATATTTTTAGTTGGCCAATTAATTTCTTTCTATTTTTTAGTAGAGACGATGTCTCGCTTTTGCTCAGGCTGGTTTCGAAATCCAGACCTTGAGTGATCCTCCCGCCTCAGCCACCCAGAGTGCTAGGATTACAGGCGTGAGCCTCCACACCAAGTCCCTGCCTTCTTAAAGCAAGAAGCTGCAGGGTACATTTTCTTTTAAAGTCACACCATATGAAATACAATATTATGGAGAAAAGAATCAATACTTGTGGAATACAAATAATTGTACCATGTTACTAAATTGAGTTAGGCTTCTAATCTAATTCCTTATATTCTTGTTGAATCGCCAAAAAGGAACTGCTCTCCATTTGTAGTTTTCATTCTTGCAGTAGGAGTTTCCACAAAATATGCACTGATTACTTGCTCTTGTAACTTTGTAAAACCTCGAGAATAGATTGACTGCTGTTGTCCCCTGGGAGCTAACAACTAAGGTTTATTCATTTAATTGTTTCCAAAAACACTGTATCTATGAGGATTTATTTCAAGCAACTTTGTATAAGATGGACTTTTTTTAAAATATAAAGATGCCAATATCTCCTGCTTTTGTGTCTTTTGCAGTGAGGCACATTGACCTCTTGTTTGTTTTTAGACTGTTTGACATAAAATTTACAAAGTGTACAAATCATAAGCATATGACTCAAGGACTACTGTGTGTGTGTATATCCATGTAATCACAACTTGTGTCAAGATATAGAACTTTTCCCTCTCAGGTTGTAATGATTTGGATTTTTTTCTTTTAATAAGAAAAATATTAAAGGATTACTGTAATTATAAATGAAAATAAATGTCAGGTTTTCTTTCTATAGATTCATAAGCCTATTACCAACAATTCTTTATTCCAGACATTAAATCATTTACTAATAAAAAATTTTAAAGCCATTCTTTATTGCACATTTACAATATATTCCACAATCTTCTAGTTAAGTAAATCACTAAATTACAAAAAAACAATATATAGAACTTTAACAGCTCCCAGTAGTTCTCTTCATCAGTGCCTCACACTGATCTTTAAACCATAGCATGCAGCAATGGCTGCTGGTTTTTCTTTAATTGTATTTTCTGTAACATGACTATATCATATCTTTTATCAGTTTTAAATTTCAGTTAATTGCCAGGAACCAGGAATTAGAAGAGAACTAGTATTTTAAATTCTTCAGTTAATTCATAAAAGTTATTTACAATTCTTTAGTTTCTATCTTATTTTCTTGATGAGAGTATCAGCTTGTGTTTCATCTAGAATTCTTTTTTAGTCTGTTTCTCTCTTTTGTCATCTAAATTTGGAATGAAGATGCCATTCCAAGTCTTTGTGGCAACACAAGAACAAACCTCCAGTACTGAAATAAATGTGGTAAATAAAGGAAGATCTTTATTTGGATTGCTCTCTCCCAATCTATGAGCCAGAAATATAAAAAAGTATATAATAAATATGAATTTGGGTACAGGTACAGATTTCCCTGGGATAATTTGCATTTGCCTTTTATTCCCTTTCTTCTGGCTCCAGCAGATGAAGGGGGAAGGAAGGGGAGCAGGAACATTTGATCTTTTATTTTCTGAAATATCTCCGAGAGAACCTTTGCAGATTATTTTTGTCTTTTGGTTAAAATAAAATTAATGTCCCAAAGTCACTATAAAATTATTCGTCTCCAGCCCTTCCTAAGGGCTCTGGTTCAGCATCTCGAAACAGTGCAATATTTATCGTGTTATGGAAAGTTTTTTCCTTCCATTTTTCATGTTTAAGAAACTTGCTGCTATTATTATCCCTTGGTAAGTACACACTAAAGGAAAATCCCTACTGTTATCATTGAAGCCACATTTTCCTCCAAGACTGGCTTTGACTGAATTTTACTTCTAATGTATGTATATATATATTTTTTTACTAAAAGATTAAGCAGGTACCAATTTATTGATCAGCATTACAATCGAGATAAAGACTTCCAAAACATGCGGGAGAATTTAGTGCTTTAGGGATTTCAAACAGTCCACAGTTCTTGCGAAGCCGAAGCCGCTGACTGCAGGCCACAGGCCTAGAGCTCGAAGCCGTCCATCAAGATCTGTCCTCAATGCATTCATACCTTTCCTCGACCCAAATAACTTTTCATTCCTAGCTCTTGTAGCCAGATCATTTTAGCGGCAAAAATCTCAGAATTATCTCCTGTGAATAAAAGCCTACATTATTTCATTACTAGTTGGAAAACGGGGAACACGTAACCTTGTGGGACAAATTGCAAAGCGGGATGCATTAGAGATCTGGTAAGATTATTAATGAGAGTAATCCAAACATATAAGAGACTTGAGCGCGAAGAGAATCAGGATTAGTGATTAAAATAATAGCGAGAAGTGGTGTAGGGAGAAAGCTTTGTAAACTCCGAAGCGCTATAGTATTACTACTGGGGGCATTAGGAAGGGAAAGAAGCGGGCGAGAGTGATTAAGCTTTGGTCTCCTCTTTTCGTCCTTAGGTGTCCCTGGCTGGGGCCATTACATTCGCCGACGCATAATCTATTATGCCGCCCAGGACTTGCCCACCAAACCTGAGTCCCAAACTCACCTTTCCTGGGTGCCCGGAAGCTACGATGCTGCCACCTGCAAGAGCGCCTTCCAGCGCGCAGGCGCGGAGGTTAACGCCCCCACCCCGCCTCCCAAACACTGCGTTCTGCGCAGGCGCAGGATCCCACCCCGCCCCCACAACTCGCCAATCTCCAGCTGTGAGAGCCGAGAAACCAGCCGCTCCGTGCGTCGCGCTTTTTTGGCCCGCACCGCGTCGCGTAGTCTGACGCGCCTACCGCGTCACTTCCGCCCCCTCCCGGGAGGCGGCGCTGGGCCGGTGGCAAGCCCCCGGAGGGAGCCGCAGTAGTACGACGGAAGATGGCGACGAGCGGCGGCGAAGAGGCGGCGGCAGCGGCTCCGGCGCCGGGGGCCCCGGCAACAGGGGCGGACACGACCCCTGGCTGGGAGGTGGCGGTGCGGCCCCTGCTGTCTGCGTCCTACTCCGCCTTCGAGATGAAGGAGTTGCCGCAGCTGGTGGCCTCAGTCATCGAGAGGTACCGGGCGGCGGCTCCGGCGGGGCGGCGCAGTGGGGGGAGGGGGAAAGGGAGGTCGATCTGGATCATCTGGACTCGCTTCCCCGGCCTCCTCCTGCCGCTGGGGGACCCCTCCCCCCAGCCCCGGCCTCGGGGCTCTCCGGCCCTGGGAAATGAGGGCTCATCCGGGGTTCCTTCCGCCAGCTCCTATAAATAATCTGTGCCTCAGTTTCCCCTCTGGAGCAAAACTTTTGAGGCCGCCCTCGAGAGAGGGCGTGCCCAGACTCGTTTGAGAGTGACTTTGACATGCATCGCGCTCTTAAGGGAATGTCCGCAGGGCTGTCCCTGTGTTAAGGTCAAGGCACAGATGAGTTTGCATTTCTCGCTCTCACTCATCCCCCTAGCCAGAGCGGGAGCGAAGCTTCGGGTTTAAGTTGGGGACCTACCCCATAATTTAATAACCGTTTCTCCGTAGTGGTGTAATCAGTGGGGGCACGTGCTATTTCTGTGACTGAAGCCACTAGTTACCCTTGATGACTTTCTTTTTACTTGCACTCTTTGTACACTTCCTTCCTAACGGTCTTTGATTAAAAATATTTTAGTCTGTGAGTCTGAGAGATCATTTTCCCAAAGGAGTGTGTCGTCTCTCCCTCCCTTCCCCCTCCCCCAATAGGATATCGTCACTCTTTTACAAACCAGACTGTTGCTGTTACACGGTTTTATCTTTTTGCACAGTGATTCTTAGCTAGTGAGAGTTGTACTCATATGAAGATGGTGATTTCAGAGTGCTTTTTCCTGACATACTTTGTGCAGAGGAGTCTTTTATTAGTTTAATAGTAGACTTATGCTTTTAAAGTCAGTCTCACTTTCATTTTTCTAGCCAAACCTTACTTCAGCAACTCCCTGAAATTGCTAGATAGGTCATTTTAGCTTCATGTCAACCAGGGTTTACTAAATGTTATCCAGGAGGTTAGAAATTACTACTTGTTACTCAGGGGAGGCCCATGATTTGACAAGTTTTTTATTATAGTGCTTTTTATTGTTATTAGGCTTGCAATGCTTTGGATGCAGAGTTTTTAACAAATTATAATAAAATAATGGTTGGGTTTGGTGACTTCACAGTTAACTTTACAGAAGGGTTTTTCTGTCTAATCATTAAGCCAAGAATGTTCTGAAGATGTAAGAGAGTATCATAGATATTACTTTCAAATTATATAGCCTCTTTTTACTGTTTTAAACATTTGGATTAGTGGTATTTTTCTGGAATCATAGTCATGTTACTTATCATGTTCCACTCTTTTTAGAACATGCTTTTTTTGTTTACATGGACATGAGCTGAGTAGTTTATAAAGTAATTTGTTGACACCCTCCCATACATCCTGTATTCTGGGACCATGCCTTTTAAACTATAATAGTTAAGCAACACACTGCAACCTGTGGAAGGAGCAAAAACGAAATACATCAAACTTTGTTTAAATTTTGCTGTGTGTTAGTAGCCTCTGCCACACCCTCTCTTCGAAAGCCTGTTATATGTCTTGCAGGCTCTGTGAGAGGAGTATGAGCTTAAGAATTTGCAGGAGAAATCTGGCTTACAAGTTCTTTACAGTGAGAAGAGCTAAACATATCGTGTTCAGTTTGGTATAGAGCAAGGGTGGGTAAACTTCCTATAAAGGGCTAGATAGTAAATAGTGGTGGGTCATGTGATCACTATGTGGACTGCTCAGCTCTGCAGTTGTAGTGTGAAAGCAGCCACACATATAAATGAATAGGTGTGGCTGTGTTCAAAATCTTATCTATGGACAATGACATTAGACTTTTATGTGATATTTACATGTCACAAAATATTATTTTGGTTATTTATTTTGAGACAGTCTTGCACTGTTTCCTGGGCTGGAGTGCTATGGTGTCAGCCTAGCTCACAGCAACCTCAAACTCCTGGGCTTAAGCGATCCTCCTGCCTCAGCCTCCTGAGAAGCTGGGACTATAGGCATGTGCCCCTATGCCCAGCTAATTTTTTATATATATGTGTTTTAGTTGTCAAGCTCATTTCTTCCTACTTTTAGTAGAGATGGGGTCTTGCTCTTGCTCAGACTGCTCTCAGAACTCCTGAGCTTAAGCAATCCTACCGTCTTGGCCTCCCAGAGTGATAGTATTACAGGTGTGAGCCACTGCACCGGCCTATTTTGATTTTTTCCCAACCATTAAAAAACATTAAAACCATTCTTAGCTTTGAGCCATACAGTAAAAGGTGACTAGCTGGGTTTGGCCGGCAGGCCCATAGTTTGCCAACCCATAGCTTAAAGCACATAAATTATACCTTTGTATCAGTATTCTGTTTCTCAAAAGTTTTATGTATTTGGTGTTCCAGAATATGAAGTAAAGGTCTCAGAATTGTGGAAGTCTTTCTTGCGTAAAGAGTTATGGCCACAGAATATAGTATCAAATCAAAGCCAACACTATAGATCCTGAGGTGGGCTTTGTTTTCTTTCTCTTGTTCTGCCTGCTGTGTTTTTCTTCCTTGTCTGCAAGGACTGTCTGTTTTTCTGTTGCAATCTATTACTTTCTGCTTCCCTTTTTGATGTCCTGGCTCCATCATGCCAGCCCTTATTTTCTGTCTGGCAGCCTGTTCATCCATTGAATTCCTGTCTGTTGACTGTTGGGAATGATGACATATGCTCTAGGAGAGTCCTCAGTACTCCACCATTCTACTTTCTATCTCTGTTTTTTCATACTTTTATGGTTAGAATTGACTTTTTGAAGAAAAGGCAGGTAAAAAAAATTCCTAGGTCTAGACCCCGTTTGTTAAGTTTATTTGACTTTGTAACCAAACTGTAAAACAAAGGAGAAACAGATCAGCATGAATAAATTGGGAAGCAGACTCTCAAAAGTCATTAGATTTTTAAAAGAAAAAGATAACCTGAGTTTATTTAAAAGGGAGATCATTTTCATTTCTATTGCCTGTAGCACTAGCATGTCTTTTAGTAGTAAAGACCACTAAATTTTTTTTAACACTGTTATTTAATACATAGCTTAAAGAAAATCTTTTCAACACTATTGCTTTCCCAGGCCAGAAATGGAACTAGAACTAGTTCAATGGAGCACATACCATGTGTGGGATTAATTAGTATAGTTGGGGAATGTAGCCTTTGTATTAAGGTACTGAGAATTCCTTTCTTAACTCTGTGAAAGATATACTGTTGAGCATGTTTGTCATTGAACATGTTGATTGAATCTTTATAGATAAAAAAAAAATACATATACCCCTTCCCCTGAGCCAGTCCTTCCTGGGCAGACCTGGCCTCTTTAAGAGTCTCTACTCCCAAATATTTGATAGAATTTAGGGCAAAGAAATCTGCTTTGGAATGGGGCTGAGGGTGCTGTTAAACATTCCTGTTAGAAAATGCACAGTCATTTCCTAAAAATCTTGAAGAGGAGAAAGGGATGCATGAATGCTATGTTCATTTCAATTTATATGCTGTAGGACATGAACTGATAATTGACCTACAGGGGAAAAAAAAGCCCACTACTAAAAGATAGAGTATAATTGTGAGATTAGTCCTTGTGATTAATATTTCCATATCTTAGTATAACATTCACCAAAGGTTTGTCAAGAGTATGAGGGAGGTATCTGAAAGAAAGTTTTCAGTTCTTTGGTTCACACAGATGACCATGTACATATATGAATAAGCATCATGGATTCTGTATATACTTGGGAGTTCATGAATCTGATGTGGGAAAATGGGCTCCTGGCATTTTTACTCTTTACAAAAAAGATAAACAGTATGTTATTTAAGAGGGAGAAGGGAGGTGAATCCTTAGTCTTTTATTATAATTTATCCCCTTCTAACATTTCCATTTCTTTCTAGAAAGACCTAGATGTTTCCAGACCCTACCAGTTCCTTTTTCACTTACACATCAAATTGGATTCTCTGACCTGGCTGCTTAGCTGCCGTTTGTCTTTGTACTCTGCGTCACATTTATTTAGTATGCACTATAAAAGCTTCAGATTCTATGTCTATCAGCAGTGTTTCAGGCTCAGTGGTGCTATTGTTGAAAAGTTTATTAGAAGCAGCAGGTGTTTCAGGAAAATAGCTTGACCAATTAGAACAAAGACACCTTTCAGTCTCCTTATTTTTCTTTCTTTGTATTTGCCTTCAGTTTCTTCATCCTTCCCCTTCCTACCTAACTTCTTGCCCTTTGTTACATTTCTTCATTTCTCAGCATCCTCTGGTGTCTTGGTGTCTATCAGTTTCTTGTAGAATGAGGGTTGGGTAGGGAAGTATGGCCCCGCACATCCCTTTTAGCTGACTCATGCACGCTGTTCTCTAAAATCAGGAGATATGACAATGTCCATGACTTCTCTGTTCCCTCCCTCAAGTCTTTTTAAAACTAATTTTACCCAGGTTTATTCTTAGTTGCCCTAATCAAATTGTAAGTGGAACCAAAGACTGCTCCAATTTTCCTCTGCCAATGTCTATCTTTCCCCAAAGTTCATTCTTCAGTTCATTCTTCACGTTTCTTTGTTGGAATAAGACTATTGTGTATTTCTAGAGGAGGAAGTCAGGTTCATTAAGTCACAATAGAGTAACACTGCACCAGGCAGTTAAATGAATCTATTTCTATATTTTATCAGAATGAGAATGAAAACAATAGAATAGGTTCATTCTTTGGGTGGGCAGTTTTTCTCTTAGATTTGATAAACCTGTTTAGCTGAAAAAAGTGGGGGTAAGCAGCTCTGAACTTTTGAAATAAATTGGGGAAGGTAAATGAACTCAGTAAAACAACATCAAATTACAGAGTTGGCCACTATACTCTCACTGGGGTGAGAAAGCGAGACTGTGTCTCAGAAACAAAAATTACAGAATGTGAAAGCCTTAGCACAATGCATAAAGAAAGTATAAGGATGGAAGTGAAGGAAAAACTAAGTATATGAGATAGAAGCAAGGGGATTTAGGGAATTTTCTTTGACTATATGAGCCTTACAAGTATGTTGGTCACCAGGAACTTTTGAGTGCTGCTTGGTGTTTAAATGTTTTGTTTCCTCCTTTTTATCATCCTGTCAAGTAGGGGAAAGTGATCCTTGGTGAGCAGGAAGAAACTTGCATATGATAGGTGCTACATAAATATATAAATTTTTTTTGGTGAAGGAGATATTCTAAGATAAGGGATTAATCTTTGATACATACCCATTTATCCTTGATAAATCTCCAAATAGCAAAGTGCTTGCAGTGCCAGACTCTTAAGAATTGTTTGAGGTGATTCGTCACTGACATTGGCATCTTCCAAACATTGACTTGTCTTTTTGGCTCCTGTGTTCATTTGGCAAGTGGATAGTCTTGCAGGGAGTGAATGGAGTCCTCACTTTGTTTACATTTCCCTTCCTAGACTCATACTTCTTGCTGGGGAATTAGCACACTAAGGAAACTATTTAGCCACATCTCTGCTCTTTTTATTTAATATGATACATTTTAGTCTTTTCTTTGCTTTCATGTTTCATCAATTATGGATTAGCACCTGATTTGATAGGATGACTTAAATGTATCAAGCCTTTAGACCTAGTTGGGTTCCAGATGTTTTTGGAAGAAGGAATTTCCTTAGAGGAATTTCCTTATTTCTTAGAGATAAGGGATGTGGTTAGAAAAAAAAAAAAATCATTGACTGTTGTGATCTAGCTTTAGGTAGAGTGAGGGTACAACTCTGGAATCTGGTGAATTTTGGCTTTTAGCAGTGATCACATGATTTCCTACCTTTAGTTGTTGATTCTTTTTAAGTTGCTGCATTATGGGCTAGCCTTGTTTGATCTTCAAAATGGGTTATTTTAATCTGTATTACCACTAATAATTTTGATTCTTCTGGTCTATTCCCTTTTGGCCATCAATAATGAAGGCATTATTTGCTTTTGGTCACTGCCAATCAGTAATATAGAACAAATTGGTATCCTGTTATGTTTGTACTTACATTTCTTTAGTTCTAAGTGAGTTGGAAAATATTTTCTGTTTATTACTTTCTGCTTATTTATTACCTTCTGCTTCTTATTAAGCCTGATAATCTTGAACAAGATATTTAATTTTTATTCTCTAAACTTTAGTTTACCAATCTTGAATATAGGGATGATAATACTACTTATCAAGTAGAGCTGCTAAAAGTATTAAATAAGGTAATGTCCATAAAAGGGTATCTAGCACATAGTAAATACTAAGTAAATCTGACTGTTTTTGTTGTTGTTGTTTTTTCTTTTTTGTTTTTTGGCAGTGAATCAGAAATCCTGCACCATGAAAAGCAGTACGAACCATTCTACTCATCTTTTGTTGCACTTTCCACACACTATATTACAACAGTTTGCAGCCTCAGTAAGTATTCCATTCTTGTCACTCGCTTCTGAAGGCTTGTGAATAAGGGGATTGTTTATTCTTTTGTTAGAGTGTCTGTACAAGCTGTTAATGAAGTCTGTGTTTTAGAACTCCTAAGCTGCTCACCCAGGAGCGGAGATAGCTGTCAGCTAGGATGAGCTCCAGAGATTTCCTTACCTAGGCCAACTAAGTGGAATTTAAAAATTATGGAACTTAGACACCTGCTTCATAACCATTGTCAGCCTCCCTTCGCTTCTTGATCAAAAGTATTTTATTGAATTCATACATGTAATTACTAGTGTGTTAATTTCTTGGGGGGTGGTGATTGATAGATACTGTCCTGTGGGGTTAGCAGACACTAAGGCTATATTACATACTTGGTTTTGGTGAGAATGTGAACTCTTCTTTTGCGTTCTCTTATATATGAGGGTATTTCAACTTCAGTTCACATTTTCTTCATTTTTCTGCCCAAAAAGTGACGAAGCTGTATTTTACATTATTTCTGAATTTTTACATTTTCAGTTGTTTTAAATCCTAACTCAGTTCTCAAGAATTCTAATTATTTGCTTACTTGAATAGTTTGCTAAGCAAATAAACTGAAAAGAAACTATAGAGTTGCTGAATAATCTTTCAGTGTCCAATACTGTTTAATATAGGTACTGGCTACTGGTGGAAGGATTGCTTTTAGCTTGAAGAAACTTTAGGTAGGAAGCTCCTTGCAAAATGTCATTTTAGAATCTACGGGAAAGGGGAAGTAGTGTAGTCTAGTGCAGGGGTCCTCAAACTTTTTAAACAGGGGGCCAGTTCACTGTCCCTCAGACCATTGGAGGGCCTTGGAGAGTGCGACGCACATTCCACACATGTGCACTGTGGGCCCGGACAAGTTGGCTGCTAAGCAGGACACCCGACAGGCTGCATGTGGGCCGTAGTTTGAGGATACCTAGTCTAGTGGCTAACAGCATGAACTCTGCCTGGATTTGAATGTGACTTTGGGCAAGTCTTTTAACTTCTGTGCTTTAGTAGCTGTTCTGTTAAAAATGGGGGGAGAGGATAACAGTATCTACCTCATAAAATTGGCTTAAGTAAATGAGTTAATACATTTGAAGTACTTGGCACTAAGTGTGACATAAGTATCTCCTATAATAGTTATCTTAATTTCCAATAAATTTAAGTAAAATTGATCTATATGTGATTGATGGTTATCAGTGCCAAAATACCTTTGTTTGCGCCTTGGGGTTTTGCTTCTGAATGATTATTAGCATAGAATGATATTGGGAATGTTGGACGTGGAGCTCAATACTTGTTTTGCTTGATCGATTGGTTGTGGGGCTGAGCAGTCTGAGATTAAGTAAAGTTCATTCCTTTCCCAGTTCCCCGGAACCAACTTCAATCGGTGGCAGCAGCCTGTAAAGTTCTCATTGAGTTTTCTCTCCTGCGTCTGGAGAATCCAGATGAGGCTTGTGCTGTGTCTCAGGTGAGAGTGATGGACCCATTTATGGTCCTTATTATAAAGTAGGATTATGCTGACTAGGAATTGATGGAGAGCAGGTGGCATAGAGCAGAGGTCAGTAAACTTTTTTTTTTGAGACAGTCTCAGTGTGTTGCCTGGGTTAGAGTGCCGTGGCGTCAGCCTAGCTCACAGCAACCTCAAACTCATGGGCTCAAGCGATCCTTCTGCCTCAGCCTCCCTAGTAGCTGGGACTACAGGCATGCGCCACCATGCCTGGCTAATTTTTTCTATATATTTTTAGTTGGCCAATTAATTTCTTTCTATTTTTAATAGAGACAGCGTCTCACTCTTGCTCAGGATGGTTCAAATTCCTGATCTTGAGCGATCTTCCTGCCTCAGCCTCCCAGAGTGCTAGGATTACAGGCATGAGCCACCATGCCCACCGGTAAACTTTTTTTAATGGACCAGATAGGAAATAATTTGCAGACCAAATGTTATCTATTGCACCTGTCAGTTCTACCTTTGTAGTGTGAAGGTAGCCTAGACACTACGTAAATGAATGAATGTGTCTGTGTTTCAATAAACTTTATTTATAAAAACAGATAGTGGGGCTGAATTGGAACATTTATTGCAAATTTACATACATACAGGGGCGAGGCAAGTAACAGAAAGTGAGTACAGTGTGCTAGTTGAGAAGATTGCAGCCCTGAGCTAAAGGAACCAAACACTCTTTAGCTCTAGGTGGTTATTGCTCTGTAGAAATGGAGGTACATAGTTGCTGGATTTTGTGAATTATTGAAAAATGTAAGCAATATGGATTTACATGTGAATCCTTCAATTTAAAAAGTTAGCTGTACCTTCAAATACTAAAAAAATACCGTGAGAACAATAAGACAAATCTACAAGCTAGATATGGTCTGAGGACCATCAGCTTCCGATCTTTGCTTTAGTGTATTCTCCCTCAAATTGCTGATCTTTATGTGAACCTAAATTTGGCCCTGTGTCAGAATTCCCAAAAGAATGGAGTCTTCTGAAAGATATATTTGAATTTGCTTTCTTTTTAGAAACACTTGATTCTCCTAATCAAGGGCCTGTGTACTGGCTGTAGCCGACTAGATAGAACTGAAATTATCACATTTACAGCAATGATGAAATCTGCCAAGCTGCCACAAACAGTGAAGACGCTTTCAGATGGTGGGTGTTCTCTTGACCTGATTACGTGGCTGCCTTCTTGGCCAGCATTTCCTTTTTTGCCTTCCAGTGGCATTCTGCTCAGCCCTTTTCTTGCTTTTATATTTTACAGTGGAAGATCAGAAAGAGCTGGCCTCCCCGGTAAGCCCTGAGCTGAGGCAGAAGGAGGTACAGATGAACTTTTTGAACCAGCTGACCTCAGTGTTCAACCCTAGAACTGTAGTGTCACAACCTATCAGTCCACAGACTCTGGTGAGTTCTTTCAGCCAAATATCCTTGCCTCCATGGGATTTATTAAGATGATAACACTAGAAGAGAACAGCAATGTATTTTATGTTTGTGATATGAAATGATATACATGCCTATGGTAGAAAAAAGTTGAAGACTACAAAACAAAACAAGGAAAATTCACCCAACTCTTTTTGTCCATATTGTTATTTTAGTGACCATTCTTCTAAGCATCTCTCAATGCAAATGAATAAAGAACATGTATAGTTTTCTATAAAAGGCATCACTCTGTACTAGTTATAGAATATATGTATTTTAAAGCTATATATTTTTTCCCTTCTCTTGGAAATGTAACCTGCATTTTCCCCAACATTAGTGAGGAATTTCCCCTTTATTAACTGAGGAATATGAAGAATATCTATGGAGCTACTGCTTACTTTTGACTGATGGTCTGATTCTGAAACTCCAGGGCAGCAGGCAGCGTGATATGATGGTACTGTCTTGATAGGCCCTGTGTTTCTTTTCAGGTGGAAGGAGAAAATGATGAGCAGTCATCCACAGATCAAGCCTCTGCTATCAAAACCAAAAATGTGTTTATAGCTCAAAATGTAGCTAGTCTTCAAGAGCTTGGTAAGACTCCCAGCTGTTCTCAGAAAGTTGGTTTTTCTGCTTACAAAAATTCCTTAAGTGTGCTTCTTTCATATGGAGAGGAATCAAACATCAGACAGAGAGGCCTGTTTGTAAACTTATACCTTTTCATTAATGTAGGTGGCTCAGAAAAGCTACTGCGTGTGTGTTTGAACCTGCCATATTTCCTACGCTACATCAATCGGTTCCAAGATGCAGTGTTAGCTAATTCCTTCTTCATCATGCCTGCAACAGTAGCAGATGCCACTGCTGTTCGAAATGGGTAAGGTGCTCCACAGTGCATATGCTTTACATTCTAATCAAAAAAGATAACTGGTTAGTTTTTATGACATATTGATTTTCTTTGACTATCACACTATAGAAACAAGTGATTCTAAGATAGACTTGTTGATCTTCTCCTCTGTTATGTTCTAGTTTTCATTCACTGGTGATTGATGTAACTATGGCATTAGATACGCTTTCTCTACCTGTGCTGGAACCTTTGAATCCTTCTCGTCTACAAGATGTGACAGTCCTCAGCCTAAGTTGTCTGTATGCAGGTGAGAAGTTGTTGTGTCTGGTCTCATTTTCTCAGCCAAACGCAAATATACATTCAGAAAATCATGAGAATTCTTCCCAGTACTCTACTCTCTCCCTCTTTCCTTCCTTCCCCAAAAGGTCATCTAATATTGCATCTAGGTGAAATAAGGTTTCAGTAGAAATCTTTGTAAATGGTCTGATTGTTTAACTGTTGGCATTGTGTTATATACATATTTATTTCATAGTATATGCAAATATTAAGTATCTACTGTATGAAAAACAAGATGCCAAGGACTGTCAGGATATTGAGATAAATGTGGCCGGTGGCCTCAAGGAACCTATACCTGAGCAGTGGAGAACAGGGCTAAACAGTATAATATAAAACAGGATGATAAAAGCAATAAGAGAAATAATAGAATATTTTGGGTAAACGAAAGGGAGAGAGAGATCAAATCTTGCTATGAGAGCAGGTTTGAAAAAGGCTTTGTGGGAACAGGTGGTATCTGTTTATATTGATAAATGTGAAGAATGTTATTCTTAGGATCCCATAAAATCCCCTTTTTTCCTGTTGATCATATGGCCTTGGAATTGGGGCCTGGCAGCTGGTGTTTACTGTCTTTTAAGTTATTGTTAACATGACTTTTTAACCCAAGTCACTGATCCTTGGTTTTATTTTATTTTTGAGACAGAGTCTCACTTTGTTGCCCAGGCTAGAGTGAGTGCCGTGGCGTCAGCCTTGCTCACAGCAACCTTAAACTCTTGGGCTCAAGCAATCCTGCTGCCTCAGCCTCATGAGTAGCTGGAACTACAGGCATGTGCCAGCATGCCTGGCCAATTTTTTCTATATATATTAGTTGGCCAATTAATCTCTTTCTATTTATAGTAGAGACGGGGTCTCGTTCTTTTCAGGCTGGTTTGGAACTCCTGACCTCGAGCAATCTGTCCGCCTCGGCCTCCCAGAGTGCTAGGATTACAGGCATGAGCCACCGCGCCTGGCCTGATCCTTGGTTTTAAATTCCAAGACATGCCATATTTCTGGTATGTCTTGGAAAGTATAGCACTTTTGTAAGTTTACTTGATTCTGCAAGTGAGGGTTTGAACAGGGAGTCATGGAAACCTGACCTTGAAATTGCTGAAGTTGGTTTATTTCCCTTTGTTGTTTGAACAGCTTTGGTTGGAATGTCTGTGTGTAAATAGGAATAAAAAGATAAAGGCATCTGTGCTCTTATGAACCTTACTGTCTTTTAGAGGATGTAGTTAATAGCAAATAACTTTTATATATAAAGAGAAATGGAATAAGAGGTCAGGAGAAAGTGCTATGGAAGTTTATAGGAGGTAGAGCTCACTTACAGTTGAGAAAGGCAGTAGCCATGAAAGAGGTTTTTTTTTTTGAGACGAGAGATCCACTTTGTGCCGCAGGCTAGGAGTGAGTGCCGTGCATCGAGCTAGGCGCTCACACGGGCGTTGGGTGGGCGGTGGCCGGGGCGCGGGCAGAACGCGTCAAGCTCCTGGGCTGCGCAGATCCTGCCTGCCTCAGCCTCGCCGGAGGTAGTCGAGGACTATAGGGGCGCATGGTGTGCACCGCATGCCGGTGGGCGTAGATGTGTTGTGTTCGACAGTAGGTCCTAGGTGGGGAGTGCGCAGAGGAGAGTTCTTCTGTGTGCGCGAGTGAGCAGCAAACTGTGTCGTCGCTTGTTCAGGCCGGTGTCAAGACTCCTGTGGGGAACGTCGGAAGCGAAGTCCGCCGCCGGGCGGGGGCCGCGCGCGCGTCGCCGCGGGTCGCAGAATGCTGAGATTACGAGGGCTGAGCACGGTGCCGCCGGATGGAAGGAGAGTGGGTTGAGGGTAGGGTTTGATAAGGACGAGGGAAGGGTGGTCGACTGTGCCGTAGGGTAGCGTGCGTGAACGAGCGCTTGGAGCGCTGGAGACACGAGGATGCACTTGAAGGCCAGGATTCTAAGAGACTAGCCTGAGCAAGCATACAACGGACTCCATCGTCTTGAGAAGTACAGGTGAGGAGAGGGTGACGTGAGAGGGGTGTAGCGTAAGAGACGAGAAGGGAATAGCTAGCTGTGCGCATTCTACAGTTGCGCAGGCTATTGTGGAGCGCTGAGTAGGAGGGAGCGACTGAGCGCCAGGAATTGTGAGGCTCGCAGTGAGCTGCGATCTGCTCGGCGTGTGCAGTCTCAGGTCGGGCGAACGCGATAGCAGATCGAGACCCTATTCCGCTTTTGGGTGTTTTTGTGTTTTTCGAGCACAGAGTCCTCGCGTTGGCCAGGCTGAGGGAGTGCCGGCGGTGCATCCTAGGCTCCAGCAGACTCAACTCTGGCTCAAGCAATCTGCTGCGTCAGCCTCCCGAGTGAGGCTGGACGCTGACGACGGCGAGTGCGGACCGAGTGCGGCGGCGCCGCGCTATGGGTTGTTGCCTATACGAGGCGTAGCAGTGAGTGCGGGGCCGAGAAGGTTGAGATTCGTCTTTCCATTGTGAGTAGGAGACGATCTCGCGTCGTTGCTCAGGGCGCGCTGTCAACTCCTGGACCTTGGTCGACGAGGCGGGTCGCGCGCGGCCTCAGCGTGGTCCCAGAGGCGGAGGAGGGTGTCGAGCGTGCGGCGCGGGCGCCCCGCGCGCACCCGCTGATGCTCGTAGAAAACAAGAAAAGAAGCGACTGAGAGGAGGGTCAGTGTGGGGAGCGCAGTACGAGAGACAGCGGAAGCGAGACGAAGAGGGTAGCCGTCGGTAGAGTTGGAGGAGTGGTGCGTGTGTGAGAGAGCGAGCGCATGATTGTGTGTTGTGAAGAGTAGAGTTGTTGTAACAGTACATGTCCATGTGCGATGCTGTATGAGGTACATAGAGAAGGGCGATCAGGGCGCGAGAAACGCAGGACTGCGAGCCAGGGTTGGATCACATCCTTTAGACAGTAGAGACCATTAAATATTCTGAAGTGTGAAAGAATCTGAGCTGTATTTTAAGAAGAACATTCAGGCTGTAGTGTGCAGGTATTTTGGTGTGGGGAAATACTGGAGGTGGGGAGACTAGTTACGAGGAATTTATAGTAATTCAGGCAAGACACATTTAGGGACTGAGCTAGAGCAGCAGCATTTAGAAAGCTGAAGACACATGTGAGAATGTGTTCTCTCCAAGCCAGTTTCCAGGGCTTAGTTTCCTAGTTCTCTACCTTTGATCTTACATTTTTAAATTTGAGGTTTATTAATTTTGTTTTTCAGGGAATTTTATGACCCTCATATGGATCTCAGTATACTTAGTCGATAAGTGATTAAAGTCAATAAGGATTAAAGATTCCTTAAAAATTTTTAGTTGGATTAAAGATACCAAGTCTGCTTTGTTGTTGAAATTTGATAAATTGGGATTTGATTTAAGGAAAGCAATTTGACTTTGATGTCTTTGAGAAATACCAAGTATGAGATTTTTTTTTCATAATCTTAATAATTTTTTTATTTTATTTAAAAAAATTACTAGATTTTATTTTTAAAGCAGTTTTAGGTTTATAGAAAAATAGAGCAGTTTATATAGACCTCCTCTGTTATATAAAATTGTATATATATCTTCTCTCTCCATATATAGTTTTTCCTATTAGTATTAATATCTTGAATTAGCATAGTATTAATATATTTGTTATTATTGATAAACCAATATTAATACATTATTATTAACTAAAGTTCATAGTTTACATTGGGGTTCCCTTTTTGTGTTTTTGCAGTTCTGTGTGTTTTGACAAATGTATGGTATCATGTATCCACCATGTGCATGTCATACAGAATAGTTTCACTGCCCTAAAAATCCCTTGTGCTCCACCTATTCATCCCTTACCCTATCTGCCAACCCTTGGTAACCACTGATGTTTTTATTGTCTATAGTATAGTTTTACCTTTTCTGAAATGTCATGTGGTTGGAGTCATATAGGAAGCTGGCTTTTCAGATTGATTTTCTTCACTTAGCAGTATGCATTTAAGGTTCCTCCATGTCTTTTCTGGCTTGATATCTCATCTCTTTTTATTGTTGAATAATATTGTATGGATATACCACAGTTTATTTATTCACCTATTGAAGGACATCTTGTTTGCTTCTTATTATTGGCAATTATGAATAAAACTGATGTAAATACTTGTGCAGTTTTTTTGTGTGGACTGAAGTTTTCAGCTCATTTGGATAAATATCTAGGAGTGTGATTGCTGGATTGTATGGTTTTATGGAGTTTATTTTCAATAATGAAATCATGGAATTGCTTGTGAGTGCAGTATGGTTTTGTGTTTCAGCTTTGGTGGATACTTGGGAGTACTCCATGATTGGGACTTGTGCATCTTCTTTTTCAGGTGTGAGTGTAGCAACCTGCATGGCCATCCTGCATGTGGGTAGTGCCCAGCAAGTGCGGACTGGGTCCACGAGCTCCAAAGAAGAAGACTATGAAAGTGATGCAGCTACAATTGTCCAGAAATGTGTAAGCCAATTAACTGGGGATATGGGAACCTTGATTTTTAAATGAGGGAATATGGCCAGTTTCACTTTCTTCCTTGATAGAGGAAGGGACTTAGAATATTCTCCACACTCCTTTCCCTGAGTAATAGGTCTAAGAGGTAGGTATTCAGCTTGTTTATTTGGCTTATTGGTTTGCATAGGTGCTTACTTTTGTCTTTTGGCTCTGTGGAAAACACTACAACTTTGTGGTGGCAGTAGACCTTGTGAAAGATTAGTCATTCATTTAGCAAATACATTTGAGGGCTTACTATGTGTCAGTGTACTTTTAGAGGAGACATAAAATGAACAAGATAATTTTAGATAGTGGTAAGCACATAGAAACTATAACTTGTGATTGAATGCAATCTGATGGGCTTGATGTGCTGCTTTTATGTGAGTGGAGGGATCACCTCTGAGAAGGTGACATTTGAACTGAATGAAAAGAAAGAGGCTGGGTACAGTAGTTCATGCCTGTAGTCCCAGCTACTTGGGAGGCTGAGGCAGGAGGATCATGTGAGCCCAGGAGTTTGAGGTTGCAGTGAGCAATGATGATGCCACTGTACTGTAGTTGGGACTATAGAGAAAGACTCTGTCTCAAAAAAAAAAGGAGTCAGCTCCATATGAAGATCAAGGAAAGTGTAATGTGATTGTGTCATTGAAAAGTGACCTGAGGATATTTAACTCTTGAAGTTATATTAATATAGGTAGGATTTAGCATTTATAATGAAATATGCCAACTTGTTCAGATTTTTGTGTCTGTTTGACATTGAACAGCTCGAAATCTATGACATGATTGGACAAGCAATAAGCAATTCCCGCCGGGCTGGTGGTGAGGTAAGACGCATGTCTCTGCTATGTTCTTCCTGTCTTGTCATCTCTAAGATGTGAATATCTCTATGTTTATATCTTTATTTTATGCCTTTCACAACAGCACTATCAGAATTTCCAATTGCTGGGTGCCTGGTGCTTGTTAAACAGCCTTTTCCTCATATTGAACCTCAGTCCTACTGCGTTGGCTGATAAGGGGAAAGAGAAGGATCCGCTGGCTGCCCTCAGAGTCAGAGACATACTTTCTCGCACAAAAGAGGGAGTGGGCTCTCCCAAACTGGGGCCTGGAAAAGGGTATGTGTCTACTTGATTGCCACTCATGTTTTGTTTTGTTTCCCTGCCATTCTATATTGATGAGGAGCTAGTGAAACTTCTCTCCTCTCTATAGCAATAGAAAAAATTTGCCTTCCTACTTGATTTGAATTTACAGCTAAGATAATGATCATGATCTACTATCTCCACAAGATAGCTTTGTGATTTTGTGTAAGTCAGTGATTCTCTCTGATCCTATTTCCTCACCTATCCAAGGGAAAAAAATGTCTGTGTAATATGTATTTTAGGATTTTATGAAGTTCAAATCAGAAAAAAATGCATCTGTCTTCCAAAGTGGGCTTTTTGGATTTGGACTTGAGTACTCACTTGAGTACTCACTTACAACCCGTAACATGGTGAGGATATTGTCATGTCCTCCTTGTTTGGTTCCTAAAACTTTTGCTATTGTTTTGATGAGGTCTGGGCGATAAGACCTGCTTGCTAGAAAAAAAAGAGATATTGCCAGTATGCTGTTCAAAGTTTTGTTTTCCAAGCCTGGGCATTTCTGGTTTTTATTTATTCATTTAGTCCCTATCATGTGCTAGGCTGCATTCTAGGCATTGAGGATGTAGCACTAAACAAAGCAACATCCTTGCCTTTATGGAGTAATAACACTGGAGAGACAGTGAACAAATATACAAACAATTACATTACAGATTATCATATATAATGGTGGAGGAGAAAAAGATGCCATAGCAAAGCATTGTAGAGTTACAGGGGCTGTTATTTTCATAAGGATGGTCCAGAAAGGGCTCTGAAGACAGGATGTGAAGGCCATGTGTGAGGTGACAGAACAAGCCATGGAAGTATTTAGGGTAAAATTGTTCAGGTTTGAGGTGGAAGTATGATTGACAGTTTTGAGGATCAGCAAAGTCAGTGTGGCTAGAATGGAGAAATCAAGGCAGGAGAGTGGTACAAAATTACGTTAGAGAGACAGCCAGAGGCCATATCATCTGAGGTTAAGTGCAGTCAGTAACTGGTAAGAGGGTTTTCAACAGGGGAAAGACGTGACCTTCTTTGTTTATGATCTGAGATAAGACCGCAGGGCATAAGAAAGGAGGATTGGAAGGACAGTGAGCTAACGTATTATTCCAAGTGAGAGATAAGTCCGACGTGGCGATAGGGTGGTGGTGAACCAACGCCAGGAAAAGAAGACCAGATGGATATGTTGGAAATGTACACTGACAGAAGTTTGCTGGTACTTGGATATAGAGCTGTGAAAAAGATGACATTAAAATTATTGGCTTTGAAGCAGCAGGGTTGTAATTTACGATAACAGGGAGCATGTGTTTTAGCGAGTAGGCTGTGAGTAGGGAAAAGGGGAAGAAACAAATAACTTATCTTGGCCATGATAATTTCGAAAAATGACTGTTTAGACCTCTATGTGCGATTTGAGCATATAGGCAGCCTGGAAGATGAGTTGGAGTTTACCAGCAGAGGCTCAAATTCTGGACTCGGCATCCACAAATAACAGATTTTTATCATACACTGAGCATCTTCTCTGTCCCAGCCTCTGGTTATTCAGAAGCGTTGATGACACACAAAAGGTGGACATATTCCTCGAACATATGAGTAGATATTCATAGAAATATATGTTCAAAACTTATATTAGGAAGTATTATACCTAGGGTGTCTTGACCTACCAGCAGAAATCAAGGTAGCTCCCAAAAGGAAGTGCGTAATTAAAATCGAAATCTGAAATAGGATTGGAGATATTAGACAAAATAACTTAGGCAAAGTAAGGAGGGAGTTTCCTAGAGCGAACAGTTAGTTCGTGTTTTATGCGAGTGGCTTTTCTCATTTTTGCATGTTAAAGATGGAGTGACATGCCCAGAATTATATCACTTCCAGAATAGCAGTACACTGTTAAAATAAGGCGTATTGTTTCTTCTGATTTTAAAAGGATTCATGTGCGGCCGAACCGGTGGGCTCATGCCTGTAATCCTAGCATACTGGGAGACCGAAGTCAAGGTGGAACACTCAAAGTCAGGAGTGTCGAAACCAGCCTCGAGCAAGAGCGAACCACAACCCGTTCCTTGAATAGAAAGAAATTAATTGCTAACTAAAAATAAGAAGAAAAACTAGCTGGGCCATGGTGGTGCATTGCATGTACCCTATATAGCTACTCAGGAGGTTGAGGCAGAAGCCGCTATGAGCCAAGGAGTTCGAGGTTACTGTGAGCTAAGCTAGATGCCTAGTGGCACTCTAACCCGAGGCAACAGAGGTGGAGACTCCTGATCTCAAAAGAAAAAAAAAAAACAAAAAGACAGTCTCTGACCATCCAGTCGGTGAGTAAGAAGAAACCGAAAGAGGAGGTCCAAGAGAGCGGTTGCGAAATGTTCTGGTGTGGAGGCCTGGCGGCAGGTGCCTTTTGAAGCCAGAAGCTTGGTGCCCATTTTTTTTTTTTTTTATATTTTATTTTTTTTTGTGCCCGGACTGTGTTGCGTCCAGAAGGCCCCGAGGCCAGTAGGAAACCAGCCCCCCCAGGCCAACTTGTTCCAGCGATGGCATGTTCCTCTAGAAATCCAGATGACGAGACAAATGGCTAGCTCTGGTGCATCAGGGGGCAAAATTGATAATTCTGTGTTAGTCCTTATTGTGGGCTTGTCAACAATAGGAGCTGGTGCATATGTCTACAAGAGTATAAAAGATGACAAAAAAAGATATTATGAAAGAATATCAGAGTTAGGGCTGACACTAGGAGAGAAACAGAAAAGGGCTGCATCATCTGCTGCAGAAGGAGAGCCAGTTTCTCAAGTCAGGGTACCAAGTCATGTTCCTTTCCCACTAATGGGTAGAGGCACTGCTGCTTTTGCTGCAGCTAGATCCATCTGGGCTCGGGATCCTGGGGCCAGGGTACTGATTATATCTGAAGATCCTGAGCTGCCATACATGCGACCTCCTCTTTCAAAAGAATTATGGTTTTCAGATGATCCAAATGTCACAAAGACACTGTGATTCAGATAGTGGAATGGAAAAGAGAGAAGCATATATTTCCAGCCACCTTCTTTCTGTATCTCTGCTCAGGATCTGACTCACATTGAGAATGGTGGTGTGGCTCTCCTCACGGGAAAGAAGGTAGTACAGCTGGATGTGAGAGACAACATGGTGAAACTTAATGATGGGTCTCAAATAACCTAAGAAAAGTGCTTGATTGCAACAGGAGGCACTCCAAGAAGTCTGTCTGCCATTGATAGGGCTGGAGCAGAGGTGAAGAGCAGAACAACACTTTTCAGAAAGATTGGAGACTTTAGAGCCTTAGAGAAGATTTCACAGGAAGTCAAGTCAATTATGATTATTGGTGAGGGCTTCCTTGGTAGCAAACTGGCCTGTGCTCTTGGCAGACAAGCTCAAGCCTTGGGCATAGAAGTGATTCAACTCTTCCCTGAGAAAGGAAATATGGGAAAGATCCTCCCTGAATACCTCAGCAACTGGACCATGGAAAAAGTCAGACGAGAGGGGGTTAAGGTGATGCCCGACGCCATTGTGCAATCAGTTGGAGTCAGCGGTGGCAAGTTACTCATCAAGCTAAAAGACGGCAGGAAGGTAGAAACTGACTACATTGTAGCAGCTGTGGGCCTGAAACCCAATGTTGAGTTGGCCAAGACTGGTGGGCTGGAAACAGACTCAGATTTTGGTGGCTTCCGGGTAAATGCAGAGCTATAAGCATGCTCTAACATCTGGGTGGCAGGAGATACTGCATGCTTCTACGACATAAAGCTGGGGAGGAGGTGGGTAGAGCACCACGATCATGCTGTTGTGAGCAAAAGATTGGCTGGAGAAAATATGACTGGAGCTGCTAAGCCATACTGGCATCAGTCAATGTTCTGGTGTGATTTGGGTCCTCATATTGACTATGAAGCTGTTGGTCTTGTGGACAGTAGTTTGCCCACAGTTGGTGTTTTTGCAAAAGCAACTGCACAAGACAACCCAAAATCTGCCACGGAGCAGTCAGGGACTGGTATCTGATCAGAGAGTGAGACAGAATCTGAGGCCTCAGAAATTGCTATTCCTGCCAGTACTCCTGCAATTCCACAGGCCCCTGTCCAAGGGGAGGACTATGGCAAAGGTGTCATCTTCTACCTCAGGAACAAAGTGGTCCAGGGGATCGTGCTATGGAACATCTTTAGCAGAATGCCAATAGCAGGGAAGATCATTAAGGACGGTGAGCAACATGAAGATCTCAATGAAGTAGCCAAACTATTCAACATTCACGAAGACTGAAGCCCCACCATGGAATAGGCAAGCACGTCACTGTCCCTGATAGCTGGCTAAATGGGTAAAGAAGCATTTTTTTACTCGGCAAACTCTGTGCGAATGAGTGTAAATGATCGAGCAAATCCTTTGCAAATATTTTCAACCATGTGGGCAAATTCTTCATGTTCACATCACAAAATAAAATCTGATTCTTCTAAAAAAAAATAATATGAGTACTTTTATAAGTTACAAACCCTACAGATGAGCATAAATAAGAAAGGAAAAGAAATCACCCTAAAGTCTACCACTCAAATTGGTAAACATTCCTTCAGACATTTTTCTGTGCGTATATGTAAAATATATAAGTTTACAAAAATGAGATCACTGTATATGAAATATTGTAGGCGTCTTTTCAATGACATTGTTGTAAAGTCTACATAATTTTTTAATGGCTGGCAGTATTTCCCTATGTAAATATACCAGAGTTGACTAATTTCCCTGTTGATGAGCACTTATTTAGGTTTTTCTAAATTTCTTCTTGAGCAGGTCTCGCTTTGGTTGCCCAGGCAGAGTGAGTTCAATGGGCAGGTCTGGCCTAGCTGCCAGCAAGCCTCAACTCCTGGGCTCAAGCAATCCTGCTGCTCAGCCTCCCAAGTAGCTGGGACTACAGCATGTGCCACCAGCCGGCTAATTTTCTATATGTATTAGTTGGCCAATTAATTCTTTCTATTATAGTAAGACGGGGTCTCGCTCTTGCCTCAGGCTGGTTTGAACTCCTGACCTCC